GATATGACCCTGAGTGGTGATCCAGCAGCTGCATGTGTGAGGCCTTCCCTCTTGCTTTTGTTGTATATTTTGCTGAAAAAAAAAAAAAATGGTGGGAGGGGTGAGGTTAATGCGTTGAGTGTGAGTAATTAGTCATTCAAACCATTGACATTTACAATGACAGGATGTGAGTGCCTACGTTATTGTGCACTGCTCTAATAGTTTATCCCTGAAATTTTCTGCCTGTATAATATTTCTTAAAATATATCACAGGAACATAAAAGATTTAATGCAGTGCTTTGTACAACCATTAGAGTTTGACGTCAACTGATCCTCAATGCTCTATCCTGGATGCTCACTGTAATTCTGTTCTTAATTGCCATTCGGAAGAGGGAAGGAGGGCAAGTCAGGAGTTTGGAACCTGGTCAGCTGCAAAGTTGGCCATGTGACCCACACAGACGGTTTCATGAAAGTACATAGGCACACTTGAGTAACTGATATATTTATTTGCAATGAAAATTGTGCTGTTAGAATATCAAAGGCCTGGAGAAGGAAGTGTTCTGATCTTGCTGAGCCAGTCTCTGTGCTTATTGGAGGATATGCTTCCTGCTAACACACATGTTTACCCCTGATTTGTTTCCCACATTGAGATTACAGGTAACCTCTCTTTAAGATGTATCATGTAACCTTAAAGTATTATAGTTTCATATTCTTGAGTTTGATATCTTTAGATCTTGGCAATTTCTCTTATTTTCCAAGTAATGTTTTAAAATCCTCTCGATTCACTTGTGTGTCAGATTTCATTCTGACATTTTACATTTGTGATTCTTTTTTTAAGCCTGTCTTGTATCCTGGGATGCATCATTAAGACCAATGAGGGGTCTTATTACATGATGTGTATTAACACATTTGCAAGTGTTTCTCAGTTTAGTACATTTTTATTGAGCAAACTCTGTGTGCATGTGTGTATTTTCATCAGTTCTTTCTGAATACACAAAACGAGAACTGTGTAGTGTGTGTGCGGAGCAAAGAGTGCTCCATTTCCATAAGCCAAGAATGACTTGATCTAATTTATAGATCTGGTCGGTTGAAGTAGCTCAGTACCAAACACTGCATCTCGTGGATCCTTTTCAGAGGTTTGGGCCTAATTAGGGTTGTCTGACCTACGGATGGGGTCACCTCCATCCAGCATAATTTAGGAAATCCACATAAGATGTAAGGAGATCAGAAAGCTGGTTGGGGAACTGAAATTACTTTGCTGCGCACTTGATACTTCCTAGGCTTCTCTGGAGCAGGGAGACCTGTGAGATGTTCACATGGACTAGTGCTGGCTTTCACCACACATGTCTGTGAGGCGAGCATCCAGTGAATGAGAGATGAACCCGGCTCTCGGGTGACCTTTAATAGTCATGGTCCCATAAAATCTCAGCACGCTTAGGTATGATTTACATTCTTCTTCATACTCCATCATTAATGTCCCAAAAGCTGCCTCAGTGCAGGATATTTTCTAGGTGTTTGTGGGGCAGCCTTAAGAAGGATGGAGAGCAGGGAATGTGTTCTTGAGATTGTGGGACTGGCTTGTCAGTAAGTCAAAAGGTAGCAGTTGGGTAGCCCTGTGGTTCTGCCAGCCCAGCCTCCTGAACTGGATAAATTCTGTTTTTCAGTTCCTTATCAAGTTGGCAGTGCCCCTTGGGTTTGTTGCCTTAGTGAAGCAGCGAGACAACACAGCAAATGGAGACACTGCTCAGACCCAGGAGGCCCAACAGTTGGGCAGAGCAGAAACCTGCCTCCCAGCCAGGAGTTGTGATGATGCTCTACGACATCATCTCCATTAGCATGTGCCTCCCTTGGGCACATCTCCCTCATGTTTTCCTGGACAGAGCAGCTGAATAGGCTTTGTTCGGGTACAGCTTCTATCAGTGCTGAGAAGAGCTTGATTTAAGATTCTTCTCAGAAACCCTTTGTTTTCTCCTTGCGGTGTGGACCAGACTTCCAGAATCTCACAGTTGACCTGAATCCAAGAAGTTCTGATGATGTGGTAAGCGGAGCCACTTAAGTTACTTACATGATGGTAAAGAATCTTAGAAGCTCCTCTCCTTCCTCAGTCTGCCTTATTCCCCTGACTCCTCTTGAGACTTCTTTTTTTTTTTTTCTTTTGGTTTCATTTCCCATTTGTGATCATTCAGAAAAGAAAACAATTAGAGTAACACCTACGTAGGGCATGATGAAGAATAATAGTCGTAATGCCTCCAGGCATTCATTCTGAAGATAAACCTGCATGTGAGGCTTTATTCCAGTTCACAAAGAGGAAACTAAGGCTGAGTATTGAAGTAACCTGTCTGAGATCACATAGCTAATAAGTGGTAGAACTACAGTCTTAAGTCAGCTGTTGCCTTGACTAAAAACTTACTCCTTTTTTACTTTATCACTTACGCTTCAGTGAGAAAATAAGCAAAAAAACAAAACAAAACAAAACAAAACCAAAAATTCTCTGAGTATTGATGAGGATGTACAGCAACTGGAACTTTGATACTCTGCTGGTGGGAGTGTAAGTTGGTGCCACCATTTAAAAAAGATACTGACAGGGGCGCCTGGGTGGCTCAGTCGTTAAGCGTCTGCCTTCGGTTCAGGTCATGATCCCAGGGTCCTGGGATCGAGCCCCGCATCGGGCTCCCTGCTCAGCGGGAAGCCTGCTTCTCCCTCTCCCACTCCCCCTGCTTGTGTTCCCTCTCTCGCTGTGTCTCTCTCTGTCAAATAAATAAATAAAATCTTTTAAAAAAATAAATAAAATAAAAAATAAAAAAGATACTGACAGTGTCTACTACACAGAACATGCATATACTCTGACCCCAAAATAGACTCCCAGGAATATTCCCAACAGAAATGTGTGTGTATGTAAACCATGAGACATGTGCATAATGCTCAGAGCAGCATTATCTATAATAGTTAAAAACTAGAAACAACTGACATGTTTACCAATAGAAGAGGTAAATAAAATGTGATATTTTCATAATTTCACAATGGAATTCTCTACAGCAGTCAAGTAAAACCTACCACTATATCTAACGACATGGATGACACCCAGACACAATGTGTGAAAAGACATAAAAGAGTACATATTGTGTGATTCCATGTATATAAAGTTCAAAAGCAAATAAAACTAATCTATGGATTAGAAGTCAGTTACCTTTGGGGGGTAGTGTGAATGATGGAGGCAGGGCCACAAGAAAGCCTTCTGGGAAGCTAGTCGTGTTCTAAATCACGATCTGAAAGGTGATTACTCTGGTGTGAATCGTGTTCTCTTTGTAAGGTTTGCATGCTTTACTACATGTATATGAAAGTGCTTATCCCCCCAAAATTCTCTTAGCAGCCAAATGGTGATAATAATGGAAGCTGCTAGTTATCAGTCTGCTAAACCTTGCTTTCCATGTCTATGAGATGTAGAGAATATTGCCTTCTTGTGAGGACTCAGTGAGAGAAGTCACGTCAGACGATTGGTAGAGTGACTTTAATAAATATCAATGATGGTGAATTACATTCCCGCCACCATTCAGGTGTTTTCTATACCTCATGTCACCACCTTGCAAGGCAGGTGGCATTGTTCCCATTTTTCAAATGAGAAAAACTAAGCCTTCTAGAGTTTCTGTCTGTTCCCCCAAGGTCCCACAGCTGGTGAATGGCAGAGCATGATTCCATTTCCAAAGAATTGATCAAGGTCAGAGGCGACGGAAGTCCTATCATGAAGGACGAGTAAGAGATGGTGATGGGATAGAGCAGAAAAGTGGGCTCCATCTGGGGCCAGGAAACCTGGGTGCAGGCCCAGACTCTGCCCGTTTCCCATTGATGACAGAATTCACTGGATGTTTCTGGAATTCATCTCAAACATGAGAGTTTTGGACTAGATTTTATTTCCTTAAGTGCCTTCTGGCTCTGCAGTTTTGTGATTCTCTGTGTTTGTCATGCCACACAGGACCTCTTCATAACCAGGCTCCGGGAGCTTACATCCATTTTCCATGTAGAACGTATTCCAGCTTCATCTTCTTAGTACTTTCCCTGAATCCCATCCTGTAAAGAAGGGCTAATTCCTCCCCTACTGTATGCCCACTGTCCTCCTGGGAGCCGTTTGCCAGTCTGTGTCCTCAGTAAACTCTAAGCTCCTTGAGGGTAGAGACTGAGATTTATTCATCTCTTTTTTCCCCATGCATGCTGCCTGGAACAGTTCACACATTTGTGGAAATCTTTGTTTAATTAACTATTTGAATCCAAATTTAATTTAAATTTAAGCTTTTTACTTTTTGAGTAAAGTGTGAGAGGATAGCCTCAGGCTGTGGTGGACCTAAGGTAGAGGCCTAGAGAGAGCTCTTCCTTTATGTTTTTTATTTTATTAGAGGTCCAGGAGAAACAGTCACTGAGCGGCTAGGGAGAAAAACCATTAGATGACTTCGTAGCTCCCCAGCATGTGCTTATGAAATCTGAAGTTTGATCAGTGCTTAAGCATCAGTGAAAATCTAAACCCTTCCCATATGGAACGGCCCCACTTAATTTAATGTCATTTTACTTTGTGAGATAGTTAATAAACAGGTACTGTATTTGATCTTGTGAGCGTAACCCTCTATATTTAGTTTTTCAGCTTTAATGGAACTATAATTTTAATCATGATTATTACTTTACATTTTAATTATAATTTGGTGTGGCTTAAGTATACATTTCTGAGAGTGATTGTGTAATGAAAACAGGAATTAGCTTTTCATTAACAAAATAATGGGAGAGTTCTCACTGCATTCTAGTCTGTGTTCAAAATCTACGGGCTGGCCTAAAAATAGCGAGGGGAGTTTAACATTTTGGTGAAAAACATGCTTCTAAATTGGCTGTGTTCACAACCCAGTCTCTTTTGCTCCATCTTGCTTTATCTTGTTCTCTTTCTTTTCAAAACATAAAATAAAACAAAATCTTGAAAGAGACTTTACTTGTGTCTTTAAGATTTCAGGAGGCTTATTTTTATTATTTTTATTTTTATTTAGATAATTAGCACCATGGAGCCACAGGTGTCAAATGGCCCGACATCCAATACAAGCAATGGACCCTCCAGCAACAATAGAAACTGTCCTTCTCCCATGCAGACAGGGGCAGCCACAGATGACAGCAAAACCAACCTCATAGTCAACTATTTACCCCAGAATATGACCCAGGAGGAATTCAGGAGTCTCTTTGGGAGCATTGGTGAAATAGAATCCTGCAAACTCGTGAGAGACAAAATTACAGGTATGCTCTTCTTCAATATTCTAGGTTTAGGATTAGCAGCTACATTGTTCCATTAGATGTACAGACCTTAGCAGAAATGCACACAGACGGTGAATGCATCTGAGTGTCTGCAGTGTGTATCCTGCATTTGAGGATGGCACCCATGTGTGTACTCTACATAAAACCAGATTGTAGATTGGGAGGACTGGGAAGCAGATGAGGATGTTGAAGCTTCCTTGGGCTTTACTTTTTGTGAAATAACCCTTCAGTTTGATCCCCTTTTATTCTCCATCAGCCACCCCTGCCCTTTGTTCTACAGTTCTCCATTTTGCCCTCTGCCCTCCCTGTACTCCACACTAGTTTTTATCTCTTCCTTTCTTCTCAGGCATTTGGTTTGTGTGTGTCCAGTGTTCGTCCATGTGTCTGAGACAGTGGTTTAAAGGGGGGCCATTGTGGACTTTGGAAGGAGTTCCCAACTGCCCATTGTCCCTGGGGAGAAATAGGCTCTAAGGATAGCATATTATTCTGTAATAAAACTACACCACAATAGAAAGGAGAAGTTTAATGAAGATCTGCAGTTGAGGTATTTTACTTCATTTCGTTTTGTTTAGTTTTTGAAGATATTTTTTGAGAAGCCAGAGACGTTTTACTTGAAAGTAAAACAATACCCAAACAACTTCAACACTTGAAATTTTTAGCCTCTGATTTCTTCCGAATCGACCAGTGTTTGTTGAGGACCTAATGTTTGCCAGACACTCTAATTCTTTGGGGTAAAGTTTCCCTGCAATCTTTTTGGAAGTGAGTGTATTTCCTCAGAAGACGGCCAGGCTACCTCACGATGGCAAGGCAGCTGTTCGCTGTGCTGCAGTGCTCGGCTGCTGAAATCATGCGCACTCAACTGAGTATCTGGCATTTTTCAGGATTGACTTTTGTTTCCCTTTTGCTGGGAAGTTTAAGAGACAAGCAACTGGCCTATATTAGAAAAAGGAAACCCTATCATTAAAATAGGAAGGTCCATCATCTTGATTTTCGGTAGGGGAATCCAGTGTACCTGTGTGCATGTCGCTGTATGTGTTCTCCAGTTCTTCCACTTCACGTGTAAATCCGTCTCCCATATAAATTAAACACTTTGCAAAATCATAAAACTAAAATGACTGTTGAAAATAAAAGCCAACCCTCCAAACGTAATTTCCTCACCTATAAAGTTGGAAAAGAGTATTTATCTCAAAGGGCTTACTGGGAGGATGAAATGAGAGCCTGGATATATGTACAGTACTGCCTAGCATAATGCCTAGCGCCTAGTGGTCTCTCAGTAAATGGGAGATGTTATTATTATAGATACAGGTAGTATGTTACAAGGAGCGCGGCTGAACAGAGAAATTTTATCAAGGTCTCCAAATAGGGCCAGGAGTTTGATGATCTTATCTGAGAGCGCTGGATCATCCATCCTTTAACAGAATTGCCTGCATTCTCAGGAAGCCAATGTTTAGATTTCTGAATAATCTTTATATAATAGGATGATAATTCAAACAAAATTAAAACCAGTTAACCATATGATTCTTCCTCCCACTCGTGTATAGAAAATGTATTTTTGGTGGAGGCTTACCTTCTAAATAGGGACTCTGCCAGCTATATTAGTGAATATTATTAATCACCTTTTCAAAAGAATTCCCTTAGAACTGTAGTGAGATCTTTGAAAAGTACTGATTCATGGTGTTGTTCCTTGTTTTCTAAAGACACATGTTTAAACAAGCAGATTCCTTTACTGAAAGAATGCTAATTTGGTAGTTCACCGAGTGGATTTGAATAGGAGTGACAGCTTCGAAGACAGCCTTTAATTTGGTATACAAAACCAAAATTGTCAACTTTGGTTTGTTTAGCACCCTCTCCAGCACAAGCAGAGACATACAGTAGCATCTGAGCTTAAAGAAGAAGCTTATGGGTTGAAAGCAGAAATATAATTCAGGCATAAATTTATAATTATGCATTTTTTATATTTCAGGCAAAAAAAAAAGTTTTTATTTGCAGAGAACTTATGGGAATGAGGCAAAGAAATATAGAGAGACCAGAGATATTTGCCCTCATTTGGTAGCAGTGTTTAATAAAAGTAGAACTTGTGGTTGTAAAGAGCGCTTATTAAATTCTTCATTTACACTACCTAATTAATTCTAGCATTTTAAATTAACAGTGAAACTGGTCCCTGCTGTACCATTCCATAGATGCAGCATATTTCCTCCATCCACCAGTTGTTCAGGTTTAATTGACTACGCTAAAAATCAGAGAAGGAGGGAGAGATAAGGCTGTGGGGAGGTGGGGAAGGAGTGAGAATCGCTCTAATGGAAGACCCTCTGAGGCCTACATTTGGTGGTAAGTGATAACACAGGCTGGGAGAGGTGAGGTGTAACACCAGCCCAGTTGAAAGGCTGCTGCTGGTGGTTCAGAAGTCAGGGTGAATGACATCATAGGTATTTTTGTTGCCCTGATTTTTAACATCCCAGTCCCCCCTTTTCCTCCAACACCTCCTACAGATCTCAATACATCTCGATCCTGTGAAGTTTACAAGGAGTTCTAAATATCTAGTGGGAGGATTGGGGGGTGGGAAGTGGCGAAGAGGTAAGAATTCAAGATTAAGATTTTCCAGCCCAAACCACTCCCTAAGAGAATGGATTCCCTTAGAAGGTTCTGGCTTATCAAATTAAGAGAGAAATTGAGAGGAAGAGGAAGAGAGAGAGACTCGTTGTTGATGGTGTTGCGCTTAGGCTGGGTTCCCTCCTGGCTGTGGGTTGTCAATGAATGCTCCATTTGAGAACACATGGAGGGAATTTGGGCATGGACTTAAATGTTTGGTGCCGAGGACATAATTGCTATCATTTATCAAGTACTTACTCTATGCTAGGTACTTGCTAAGCACTGAACATACCTTATTTGATTTAACGCTGAGAACAGCTTCCATTTTCTTTTTTTTTTTTTTTTTAAGATTTTATTTATTTATTTGACAGAGAGAGACATAGCAAGAGAGGGAACACAAGCAGGGGGAGAGGGAAAGGGAGAAGCAGGCTTCCCGCTGAGCAGGGAGCCCGATGCAGGGCTCGATCCCAGGACCCTGGGATCATGACCTGAGCCTAAGGCAGACACTTAATGACTGAGCCACCCAGGCGTCTCCAAGCCTCCATTTTCTTAGATGAGGACACTGAAACTTTGTGAGGTCAAGTAACTTCTCCCGGCAGCACAGGTATTACCAGATGGTGGAGCTGGGGTTCACCCCCAGATTGCAAAAGCATGATCTTATGGGGAAGTACAGGCAGGGTGCCCCTGCTGGTGTTGAGTGAAGACCCCTGCCTAACCCTAACCCCATAACCCAATGAAACATTGTGAGCATCTGAATAGCAGTTGCCGGCCACCCTCTGGAGAGTCTACCTCATGCACCACGGCTTTCAACTAGACTCCTGTGTATGACACGAGGCAAAGATAACAATATTTATCATCCTCTGGGGATACAACTCAGCCTTCAGAGTAGAACCAAATTTACTGAAAGTGCCAGGTTTAAGATTCTGTTACCGTGCTTCTGGACATCTCTGTTACTTATCTTCTCAGAGATATTAGATTTTTTTTTTTCCAATTGCGAAAGGACACTTATCAGGATAATCTAGGTACCAGGGAGAGAAAACATGTCTCCCAAGTTGCTTTTGTGTGCAGCCGTGGACACTTGATGGCCCCGGAAGCCATGTTCTTCCTTTTTCTCCTGCATCCACCTGCAGGCCCTGCTGCTGGAGAGAGAGGGAAGTGGTATGTGGCCCGCGAGATTTCGTGCAACCTAGAAACTCCGGCAAGAAAACATCAAACCCCTGGTAGAAATTCTGTTATTCCCATGAACTGCAGAGAGTTGAATTAATTTCTAATTTTTAATTTTGTTGCCTTTTTGTTTTTTCGGGCTTTGAGATTGCATTACAGATGCTCAGTATTTTAGGGGAGGAAACATGGCTTAGGCAGAATACCGTTAGGTGGCTCAGGGAATGTCTTAAAGCCAACAGAGCTGGAACGCTAAATTACATTTTAATAATTGTCTGTCTTGTCATCACCCCTCTCTAAAAGGAATAGAGAAAGGAGAAAAAAAATAACCCCCCCTAAAAAAATCCCCAGAAATAAATCAGTGTACAACAACAGTTTGATCTGCCTATCTAGATTGTGTGATTATTTGCATCGTAGCGATCAAGAAGAATTATATTTTTACTTGATGTTACTCTTCATGTGCCCATGCAGTATAATTTGTTTATCCATTTCAGGCAGGTAAGAGCTCTGAAGGGAGGTTTTTAAGGACAGAGTGGTCCAAACTGAACGTTATCCATGATAAAGCTGAATATATGGAGTGACCCCAGGTATGGAGCAGACTGTAAGGACTATAGATGGTTGATAAAGGGTGAGGTCTGTGTTAGCTGGAGCTGCTGGGAGAGGTTTGAAAGATAGGGTTAGAATTTAGGTAGAGGGAAGGAAAGCAAAAGTATAGAGCTAAAATTCCAGTCTAAGAACAGAAGACTTTTTTATTCTTTCGTGATTTGGACACAGTAAGTAGAGCTGGGACATGCCTCTTTGGAAACAGCGATCTGAGATGAAGCAGCGTTGCCAGATGAAGTTAAACATACCAAAGAATGAAGCCAGTTGGAGTTGCACCCCAACAGGCAAAGATAGCATTTCCTAAACCTCACCTCTAGCCCACTCTTTCTTTTTTTTTCTTTCTTTCTAACACATGTCTTTGGCTTAATTACTGTTATCATTCAGTGGAAAAGGCAGAACAAGGCAAAAAATACCTTCACTACTGTGGACATCAGGGTGAATAATGCTTTGCCACCACTTTTGTATCTGGAATCACATCTCTAATTAAAGGAACCAACTCAGTTTTGATTTGGTGACAGTGGGTAACTTCTGTTCTTTCTCGGATTTGTGAAAATGCTACTAATCCCATGTGTCCCTCTCAGTAGGTGACATGCAGGACATGGACTACGGCAGTGGGGGGTGGGAGGGTG